TTGTCAGACAAAGTGCAACTGAAAGTAGGAGCGGGGGCCAAGAGTTCTCTCATCCTCCACGCGGTGGCCTGCCAAGCAAGCTGTGCGCCTCGGGCTGGGAATGCAGCGGGATACTCTATCCCCTCTGGTGGGCAGGGTTTCCTAAATTTTCCCAAATAAAATATTTAGGTGGCGACTCTGTATCTGGCAAAGCAGTCCATGTTTGGCACTTCTTTCAAAAAATCAGTTTTTCTCAAAACGATTTGCCAGATTTGGACTCTTTGGTTCAGACTTAGAACCGTGACTACGAAAAGTCGAGTCCGAGCTGTAGCGAGGTCCCCCGCGGGCTTGTTACAGAACCCTTTTCCAGTTTATACATTGCTTTGTTATGGATGGTGATGCTCGACTTTTTGGTTCAAAACCAATAAACATTTGTGATTCTTGTTATTCAATTTTGGCTTTTACTTTTGGTGAGTTCTAAATAGCGACTTTGCATTAATTTTGTGCAGCGAAAGCAAAGCATATCACTGTAACCTGGGGAGCAATTTAAGCTTAGTGGTGCCCCTCTGGAAACATTGCATCAAACCTGTGCTGAGGTTAATTCACACCTTTATCAGGTTTGTGTAAAACTTTAATTTTAGCATATAGATGAAGACATGTAATTATTTTATTATCAAGCCTTCAATTATGAGAAGATGTATATTTGCAATTCTCAAATCATATATGATAGATGGCCTTTTTATTTATTTATGTTAGTCTGTGAAGGTGGGATTTTTATTCTAAGCCTCTGGTATGATGTACAAGGATTTTTATTTATTTATGTTAGTCTTTGAGCATTTTTATTTTCTGAGGCATCCAACCACAAAAATCCCCTATTTGAATGGTAAAATGAAAACTTAAATTCAAATCAGTTGTTTGAATGGTTTGTTATGGACTTGAAAATTCATTGATATAAATCACTAAAATTAAACACTTGAGCTACATACCAACAACAATAAAAAAGAACATAAAATCCAATAAAGCACTTGAGCTAGATAGAGTCATTTTCATGGTTTCAAAAGAACAGATTTTTTGAAAGGACAACCGAATTCCATGGTTTCATGTATTTATGTCATACGTGGTCCATTTTACTTTTTAAATTTATTTTTCATGTTATGCTTATTCTTCTTGGGCAACTCTTATTTATTTTCTGTCTTCCTTCTTTTTAAGGATGAATTTCTTAAGCAATATTTTGAGGGAAGAGGGCGGTTTTGATTACAAGAAAGCAATTGTTGATTCAATTGTTATCCTTATAAGAGACATCCCAGATGCCAAAGAAAATGGGCTACTTCACCTTTGTGAATTTTGCGATATCTCATAATTCACTATGTTTTCTTTATTCTGAGAAGAGGAATGGTTAACCATTTGTTTGCAGGTTCGTGATAGGGCTACTCTATATCTGAATATGCTTGAAGTTGATGGTGCAATTGTTGAAACTGATAAAGATGTGAAGAACTTCCTTTTTGGGTCTTTGGATGTGCCATTAGTCAACCTGGAGATGAGTTTGAAGAACTACGTGAGTGTTCCCAGAGAGTTGGCAGTCTCTTTATGCATTGTGCAGTGTTTGTTATCATATTCTCACGTGTTTGTTCAATACAGGTTCAAGAACCTTCAGAAGAGCCTTTTGATATTGATTCTGTACCTAAGGAGGTTAAGTGTCTTCCACTTGCCGAGAAGAAGGCCCCTGGTAAAAAGCCAACTGGTTTAGGTGCTGCTCCAACTGCTCTCACGTCCACTGTTGATGCTTATGAAAAGCTTCTTTCCTCTATCCCAGAGTTCTCGAGCTTTGGGAAGCTTTTCAAGGTTTTTTACCAAGACACTCCTTCCATTATATATACTGATTTTGACTATTGTTGATAATCTGCTGATTCAGATTTTTTTTCATATAAATTTTTGTTTCCTGTACCAGTCTTCGGCACCTGTGGAGCTTACAGAGGCTGAAACAGAATATGCAGTTAATGCTGTTCAGCACATTTTTGATAGGCATGTGGTGTTCCAGTACAACTGCACAAATTCAATTCCCGAGCAATTACTGGAAAATGTAATGACCATCTTAAAAAAAGTAGTAGTTCCTTTATTCTGAAATTATTTTGGGATAATCTCTCAATTTTTTTGTGCTTACTGCCAGGTCACCGTTGTTGTGGATGCTTCTAACACCGAGGAATTTACTGAAGTGTCAACAAGGCCTCTAAGATCTCTTCCATATGATTCACCAGGACAAACATTTGTGGTATTTGAGAAACCAGAAGGAGTCCCACAGTTGGAAAATTCTCGAACATGTTGAAGTTTATTGTGAAAGAGGTACTGTTCGTGTTTTTATAGTCATGTTAGACACAGGGCTACAAAGTATCTTGGTGTTGCTTGGTTATATTTGGACATGTTCAAGCTTGGCTTGAGCTTATCGAGCTGTAAAAACATTTATGCTTGAGCTTAGCCCGATGGGTACTCTACTTTAGCTCATGAGCCTGTTGGTCTTGTGTATGGCAAGAAATTTGAAAAAGTTCACGGCCTGATTTTTTATTTAAAAAAAGAAGTTAATATTAAAATTTTAACAAAACATTGTTGTTGTTGTAGACCACATGGAGGAAATTGCATACTTTTGTACACTTTCCACTCAATAAATCTATGCCCATCACTGGTTTCTTAGAATAGCTTGTTAACATGCAAGAGTAAACTTATCCTATAGATGTATGGACAAAAAAGTTACTTACCATTTCCTTTGCTTGTTACTTATTTGTGAGGTGAGTTTTTCAGTAAGGTTACATATTATCCAAACTTGTATCAAATCAAGTTTTCACCAATTTTTCATTAAATCTAGGCAAAAAAAAGTTTTTCACTAAATTTGATGAAAGAAGCTTTTGGGATAGCCTGTTGGTCTTGTGTTTCCATAATAGCCAATTTTAGCAGAAACTATTTCCAATTACTTTGTTAATGCTTTATAATTTGTTGGGCTGTGTTGGGCCAGCCCATGAAATGTTTTCCAACAAATGTATTTCTTTGAAAAAGGTCCAGTAGGCCACAAGTTCCATAAAACGGCGTCATATTCTTTCTTCCGCGTACCACTCACCACTCACCTCACCCAATAATCTCCTTAGCCTCTTCACATCGACTCTTCTTCTTCTTCTTCTTCTTCTTCTTCCCCAATGTTGGGTTCGCTTCAAAACCCTTCTCAGCTCTCAAAGCAGGTAATCTCATTCATATTTTTGTTTTTGTTTGTTTGTTTGTTTGTTTTCTTGATTTTCTTGTTTTCAATTTTACTAATTAGTTGTTTTCTGTATATCTTTTTCACTCACAGCAGCAGAAACAGGAAAGAGAATGGTTTGCAGTGAGTTTCAAGCCAGAGAATTTCATTCCAGGTCTAGTCATTGGTTTCCTTTTTGGGTTGTTCTTGGACTTATCAAAACCCATCAAAAACAATAATAATACTACTCCTAAGAAGGCGGCCAATCTCTTACTGGGAAAGTAGCAAAGACTGGTCTCAACTAACACTGATGAAGAGCTTAAAATGGTACTGTCTCTTATTGTACAGCCTCAGTTCTTTGTTCACTCTGCTTTTTATCTTTCTTTAAACATTGCAGTGTTGCTTGGAAGGCCCTTTGTTGAATTTTGATTGCAGTGTTGTAAGATATATACGATTCTATTCAATTTCTTATATAGTCCTGTAAGCACATAAAGGTGAAAGATGTAGGTATTCATATGCTTTAGAAGATTTTGGTTATTTATTCAAATTTCTTAAGCAAACCAAGTACTCTGATCAGTTATGTCGTATGTGTGGATCCGTTTTTTCTTTTCCAGGTAGAAGACTGCCCCATAATTAGTAGCTGGGCTAAGTTTTATCCATCGAATTGCTGAATGTGAGCTTGTTTTCTTCCAGGATGATAATAGGAAGTGGGTATGCACACTTCAGGATCTATTTGTTTTCTTTGCTGCTGAAATCCTATATCACTATTAACTAGAATTCAACCCCAAATGGTAGAGATTTGAGCTTTCTTCTGGAGTTTTGAGTTGCATATTAGCTACTGAAATCCTATATCACTCGTTTATAAACAAATGGAATAAAGAAAGCATAAGCTGCTTAATTGAGTTCTGCTTTCTATGGTATGATTGGTGTCTCATGATTTAATCTGTGCAGGATGTTAGAGAAGACCTTAGATGTTCTATGGCTTAGGATGCAGAGACTATCAAGAACGAGAGCTGAAGCATCAATAAAGATCCAAAATGTGTGGAACTATCAATAAATGCAGACAAAGACAAATTGCAAGCACAGCTACCTAAGGATATACCATTGGATTTTCAGAAAAAGGTTATTATAGCCAAACAAGAGAAGCAAGAAGCCAACTCTGATATTTTGTTGGGAAAAAATGAAACTTACAATCATCTTATGGGTATGTAAACAGTGGGAATTAACTGCTTATGCAAAAAGGGTTAACTGAATTCTCGTCTTATGGGTATGTAAACAGTGGGAATTAACTGCTTATGCAAAAATGGTTAACTGAATTCTTTCTTCAAGAAGCATAGTGTATGGTAGTTGAACCATGTTTTGAACATATATGTCTTCTATCAATGGTCTAATGGCAATTCATAGAAAGTTCTTAGCCCTAGTTGAACATTTAAAATTGATTACCTCCAATTTCCTGATTTTAGATATTGAAATGCGGTTAACTGCCTTTTTGTATTGCATGGTCTATCTTTTCCTATGGAGTAGGGATAAGGTTGTAGCCATAAATATTATTTTCATGTCCATGTGAGGTTGAATCATAAGCCTCAAAAGGAAGCAATTCTTGTAATTTCTTCACAGCATGGTTTTGACTTTACCAGGATAAGTTATTAGACAAGCATATAGACCATTTTGATTTTAATTGATGTATTTAAAGTATGAATTGTTTCTATTCTTAGGTATGTAATGCATTGTTTTTTATTTTTAATTTTGTTTTCAAGCTTAGTTTATTTATTATTTTAATAAACATTAATTATTAGTTCTTAATAATTGTTTGCCAGGTTTTTTTTTTTTGTTCAACCATATAAAATTAACACAATCTAAAAATTAAAAAAAAAGGCTATGGTGGCGTTTAAAAAACGTCACTATATCCTATCCCAACGGCTAGATTTTAAAATGAATAAATGTCTATGACGGCGTTTTCAAAAACGTCGCTAAATGTCAGAGTGACGTAACAGTACAGTTAGGGTAGGACATTTGGCGGCGTTTTTGAAAACGCCGCCTATACTAATATAACGACGTTTTTTAAACGCCATAAAGTTATAGCGACGGCCGCGTCCTCGACGTTTGGTACTAAACGCCACAAAAAAAATTAACGACGTTTTTAATACTTTTAGTGGCGTTTTTTAAACGCCGCTAAAAGTGAATTTTCCAGCAGTGAAATGACATTTTTATCTAGAGTCATTTATGTTATGTATAACAAAGAAAAGAGAAGAAAAACCCTAGGTTCCTAATACATTGTATAGCAGCAACCACAGCAGCCACGGGGAGAAAGAAGTTGAGAGAAAAGAAGAAAAAAAAAGGGGGGGGTTTGCAAACAAGGAATAACTTTTGGGTGTGTGGTAGGTCTCTATCTTTCTTTTTCTCTTTGTTTTTGTTCTTTAACCTTCTTCTATTATTATTTAGATCATTGATGGAGAGGTTGTAGGTTTATGTATTTTGTATATATATGTATACACTGTTAAGAAATCTGAGGTGCTAAATTTATGTGTAAAGAATGGGTGTAATTCTTAGTTCAAAAATTTTGCACAGAATCGCAAACTTTAAAAATCAAGAAACCATATCAAACGGATGAATTTTAATTTGAAATTTTTACAGTAGATCAATTACATATTGAATTGTACATCTGAAGTTTTTCATAATTTTTGGGAGCCAAAATCCATATAAATTGAGGTATTCAAATCTGTCCAGGAAACCAGTCCGAAACAGTAAATTCGGGAGTGTTGTTCTCTTTGGGTATAAATCCAAAAATTATCAAATTAATGTCATTAGAACCGGTTACGAGTCTAGTTTCTTGCTTTTTTGGCCTTGCATTGATTGCTCGTGTATATTAAGAGAACCGTCAATTTCTTTAAAGTGCTGCAGAAAACAACCTGTTTAGATATAATAAATTGTAGATAATTATTTTGATAAGCAAATCAAGTGAAACCAATTGGGTTTGAAACTTAGGATATATTAGATCATATCTGGAGGTTATTGGAATTTTTCAAATAGCGTGGAGTGGGTTTTGTAATTTTCAAAGTTAGCGAATAGGTTGGGAATGCTTGTTTAAAATTCCGTTTTGCCTTAAAGTTACATTTAATTAAGTTTTGATCGGAACCCATGTCTTGGGTGATTTTAAACCTTGAAGAACATGAAATTAGGTAATATTTAAGAGTAACGGTGAGTTAGGTTGAGCCGTGTTAGTGCACTTTATTTGGGGTTACTTAGTTCTTATTCTTTAGTACTTTTAAATTAGTAGTGATGTGTAATTTTCATACTTGGTTCAGGGCACTAGTTGGACTTTTATACTCTATTCGAGAATTATATTATTTCGGTTTCAGATGAGTAGTTTCATGCTACATATTTTTATAAATGTTCCCCTACCCTGAACTGTTGGAAAATTAAATTGTTGTTTTAAGACTAAACTGTTTTGATAAATTATTATATTATCAATAAATGTTGGGATACTATTGAAGAGAATGAATCAATTTATAGTGCAATTCAGTAACTTAGGTAATTTGGGTTTCATTCATATTGGGTTTGGACGGACAATCTTAGATTACAATTCAAATTTAGACATATACAACTCTCAGCATTAGTTGGGTTAAATTTAAACTTCTCCTCTGTCTGAACCGGTCCAAATTGCATCCCTAAATTTAACTTATTCTTGAAACATTCATTTCATTCATGCTCCGAGATAGTTTTGGAAACAACTATTGGATGAATCATTAATTTAATCATTCATTTCGTGCTCCCCATCAAGTCCAGATCATCTTCTAGTGCTATTGTTTAGTGCATTCTTGTTGTTCCTCGTTTTGGAGCAAAATTTTTATATATGTATATATATATATATATCTGAGAAATGTGTGGCAGATTATTTGTTTTTATTGGTACCCAGAAAATTATTGGTGTTCATGTTATAATCTATTTTAAGTGGAAAATGTCGTTTATCATGTTCTTGCGAGGCATGAGTATTTTAAGTGTTGAACCGTGGAACCTTCTTTTGAAACAGATTGTATTTACCAAATTGTATGCCAATCTAGTTTCTGTGATATATATCTTATTTTGGAATTTATCCCTGTTTTCAAAATTGTATTTACTATCCATGTTGCTACTCACTGAGCTATCAGCTGACTTAGTTTTTATCACTTCCAGGTGTTAGAAGAACTTAGAGTGGATTCATGGCGTAGCGGGGACTCAATTGCATGGACCTCTAGGGCATTTATTTAATTTTCTTTTAGGTTTCTTTGTCGAGTTTTGTGCATACATTGTGGTTGGGTTTTGTTTAGAATTGTTTTATTTTGTGGGCGGTTTGGGTCCCATTTACTATATATATATTTTTAGGAAGTTGGTTATGACTACTTTTTCACTTGTGGCATGTCACTGGATTGAGTTTCGGTTATTTATTATTGGACTATGGTTTAATTGTTCAAGGTGATATTGAATGCGTGTTTAGGCTTACGTGTGCCTTGGGCTAAGGCCCTGTGGGCCACGGCCGGTCATACCCAGGTTTGGGGTGTGACACACATTGCATGCGTTTTCGCGTATGCTTTACTTACATGTGTTTATGCACCCTTCTCGCATTGTTACACACATTGCATGGATTTTCGCGTATGCTTTACATACATGTGTTTATGCACACTTCTCGCAGTCTTACACACATTACATGCGTTTTCGCGTATGCTTTACATACATGTGTTTACACACCGTTCTCGCATTGTTACACACGTTGCATGCATTTTCGCGTATGCTTTACTTACATGTGTTTAAGCACCCCTTCTCCCCTGTCGCATTGTTACACACATTGCATGCGTTTTCGCGTATGATTTATTTACATGTGTTTATGAAGCCCTTCTCGACTCTCGCATCGTTACACACATTGCATGCGTTTTCGCGTATGCATTACTTACATACGTTTATGCACCCTTCTCGCATTGTCACACACATTACATGCGTTTTCGCGTATGTTTTACTTACATGTGTTTATGCACCCTTTCGCATTGTTACACACATTGCATGCGTTTTCGCGTATGCTTTACTTACATGTGTATATGCACCCTTCTCGCATTGTTACACACATTGCATGCGTTTTTGCGAATGCTTTACTTACATGTGTTTATGCACCCTTCTCGCATTGTTACACACATTGCTTGCGTTTTCGCGTATGCTTTACTTACATGTGTATATGCACCCTTCTCGCATTGTTACACACATTGCATGCGTTTTCGTGTATGCTTTACTTACATGTGTTTATTCACCCTTCTCGCATTGTTACAGACATTGCATGCATTTTCGCATATACTTTATTTACATGTGTTTATGCACGTTTCTCGCATTGTTACACACATTGCATCCATTTTCGCGTATGCTTTACTTACATATGTTTATGCACCCTTCTCGCATTGTTAGACACATTGCATGCGTTTTCGCATATGCTTTATTTACATGTGTTTATGCACCCCTACTCCCCTCTCGCATTGTTACAAACATTGCATGCGTTTTCGCGTATACTTTACTTACACGTGTTTATGCACTTCTCGCAATGTTACACACATTGCATGTGTTTTCGCGTATGCTTTACTTTCATGTGTTTATGCACCCCTTCTCCCCTCTCGCATTGTTAGACACATTGCATGCGTTTTCGCGTACGCTTTACTTACATGTATTTATGCACCTTTCTCACATTGTCACACACATTGCATGCGTTTTCGCGTATGATTTACTTACATGTGTTTATGCACCCTTCTCGCATTGTTACACACATTGCATGTGTTTTCTCGTATGCTTTACTTACATGTCTTTATGCACCCTTCTCGCATTGTTATACACATTGCATGCGTTTTCGCATATGGTTTATTTACATGTGCATATGCACCCCTTCTCCCCTCTCACCTTGTTACACACATTGCATGTGTTTATGCACCCTTCTCGCATTGTTACACACATTGCATGTGTTTATGCACCCTTCTCGCATTGTTACACACATTGCATACATTTTCGCGTATGCTTTACTTACATGGGTTTATGCACCCCTTCTCCCCTCTGGCATTGTTACACACATTGTATGCGTTTTCTCGTATGCTTTACTTACATGTCTTTATGCACCCTTCTCGCATTGTTAGACACATTGCATGTGTTTTCACGTATGCTTTACGTACATGTGTTTATGCACCATTCTCGCATTGTTACCACGGTGCATGCGTTTTCGCGTATGCTTTACTTACATGTGTTTATGCACCCCTTCTCCCCTTTCGCACTGTTACACACATTGCATGCGTTTTTGCGTATGTGTAGGCGCGCCCGCGGGCCTTATGCTACAGTTCGGACTCGATTTGTGTCACGGTTCTTAATCTGAACCAAAGAGTCCAAATCTGGCAAATCGTTTTGAG